GATGTTAGGTCGTAGAATAACATTATAAGTTTATTTATCGATAGTATTAAGTACAGTGTTAATTTATCTCTTTATCGAACTTAGGCCTAACATAAGTTAAAGTTTTATAAAGTAAGGCCTATATACAAGTGAATATACACATTTCGTAGTCTATGATTACAATTCGTTTGTATTGTGCTAGAAATGTTATATTTAAAGAAGTACTGTTACGGATACTGTTATACTGTTACGTGCCCCGTGTTTGGTGTTGCTGGTGCACAAAAATATAGCTAATAAAAAGGGAAACAAAGGTCTTGTAGATTAATTTACTCTAATCCTGCCTAAACAAATTTCAACTGCTACAACTTTTTTGGTTGGATTAATTAATACCCACTGACTGGCCTAAACTCACAGTACTCATTAAGTTAACAGTTTCACTTATTTGCTTATTTTTTGTTGTTGTACCTATGCTATTTTCTAGTATCTTGTTAAAACAGGAACGTAATATTCACAAAACTGAACTAACTAGCTAACTGGCTAACAGTAATGCACAGACTGGTTAATAAACTTACTAGCTCAATAATACTTCACTGTGACAGACTTACAAAAATTAATTACACAAGTCTATGATGGTTTTATTGTCTTACAATTTTTACATGTTCTACAGTAATTCCTGTATCCTGAATTTGAAAACGATATCCATTTTTCTTCATCACGCACATATTTTTCACAAAACGACATAATGCAATACATAAAAGAATAACCACAACATGTAGTTTTGAGACTAACAAAATAAGGATGAATGAGGATGGATATTTATTTGACATCAATGTTCTTCCCTTTTCTTCAACTTGTTTGTATTTTGGTTAACAAACATAATAATAATAAATGTTCATTGTTGTAAATGAAATAATAATTGGATCCAAGTATAAAATGTCTTTATGTGACAGGAAAAAATTAATATTATTTTCAAAATCTATGTAGCTGAATTATGAAAAATCCATTATTAAAACCAAAACAACTTTTATGAAGTTATTCCTTCAGTGTCTTTTTTAAGGCCAATGTGTCCAGTTGTTCAAAGGTTGTTGAGACGATGAGTACTATTGACTACAGTGACTGTGAAAATACCATCTGAGCCATAATTTCTGTTCACTAATATTTTCCTATTTCTAGTTTAACAACTTGTCTTGTAGAAATTATAAACCCCACTGTGTCAAGCATATTTTGGTCTTTGTGTTGTAATAATTGGCTTAAGTTTCATATCTTTTACCTCAGCATCTTTAAGTTGCTTGATGAACCACAGTAATTCTTCATCATCTGTGTCTCATGTTGAATTTTGCTCTGTTTCATTTTATTTTTATTGTATTTATTGTCTTGTGTTTCTCTCTCTTTGCAGTGTTTACATTTTTTGGCAATAGAAGTTCATTGGGATAATACATCAGCATTTTCATGACTCCATCCTTGCAATGTACAATGTTAAAATTATACTTCAAAAGTTTCTGAAG